AATGCTTAATCTTTGATGCTTTATATCTCGAAAGGGAGAAATATTTTGATAAGCAATATTGAACAAAAGTTGTTCAAAATAATGTTCTGAACAGTATGCAACCTTTCATTTTTTGCTAAACGTCCCCATTAAGGAGTTGAAGGGTTGGCCCCTAAATATGTCTTTTGCTAATAGCTCAAAAACGAAAAAGAATTTCTGAACAGTTGTTGAACACAAAATGTTCAAAATCTTAAGATCTTTAAGATAATATCCCGAAAAAGGGGCTGGGCACTCGAATTAGGGGCCAAGAGGGGCCAAAAGTCTTCAATCGATAACTCTTTATCAGTTAATATTTTGTAATACATTACTGAAGCAAAGATGTTTATCTCAACTATCTACAACTATATATTATGGTTTTTATGTCGTATGGTACATAATTAGGGGCCACAAGGGGCCAGAATGCTAAATCTTTGATGCTTTATATCTCGAAAGGGAGAAATATTTTGATAAGCAATATTGAACAAAAGTTGTTCAAAATAATGTTCTGAACAGTATGCAACCTTTCATTTTTTGCTAAACGTCCCCATTAAGGAGTTGAAGGGTTGGCCCCTAAATATTTTTTTTGCTAATAGCTCAAAAACGAAAAAGAATTTCTGAATAGTTGTTGAACACAAAATGTTCAAAATCTTAAGATCTTTAAGATGATATCCCGAAAAAGGGGCTGGGCACTCGAATTAGGGGCCAAGAGGGGCCAAAAGTCTTCAATCGATAACTCTTTATCAGTTAATATTTTGTAATACATTACTGAAGCAAAGATGTTTATCTCAACTATCTACAACTATATATTATGGTTTTTATGTCGTATGGTACATAATTAGGGGCCACAAGGGGCCAGAATGCTAAATCTTTGATGCTTTATATCTCGAAAGGGAGAAATATTTTGATAAGCAATATTGAACAAAAGTTGTTCAAAATAATGTTCTGAACAGTATGCAACCTTTCATTTTTTGCTAAACGTCCCCATTAAGGAGTTGAAGGGTTGGCCCCTAAATATTTTTTTTGCTAATAGCTCAAAAACGAAAAAGAATTTCTGAATAGTTGTTGAACACAAAATGTTCAAAATCTTAAAATCTTTAAGATGATATCCCGAAAAAGGGGCTGGGCACTCGAATTAGGGGCCAAGAGGGGCCAAAAGTCTTCAATCGATAACTCTTTATCAGTTAATATTTTGTAATACATTACTGAAGCAAAGATGTTTATCTCAACTATCTACAACTATATATTATGGTTTTTATGTCGTATGGTACATAATTAGGGGCCACAAGGGGCCAGAATGCTAAATCTTTGATGCTTTATATCTCGAAAGGGAGAAATATTTTGATAAGCAATATTGAACAAAAGTTGTTCAAAATAATGTTCTGAACAGTATGCAACCTTTCATTTTTTGCTAAACGTCCCCATTAAGGAGTTGAAGGGTTGGCCCCTAAATATTTTTTTTGCTAATAGCTCAAAAACGAAAAAGAATTTCTGAATAGTTGTTGAACACAAAATGTTCAAAATCTTAAGATCTTTAAGATGAGATCCCGAAAAAGGGGCTGGGCACTCGAATTAGGGGACAAGAGGGGCCAAAAGTCTTCAATCGATAACTCTTTATCAGTTAATATTTTGTAATACATTACTGAAGCAAAGATGTTTATCTCAACCATCTACAACTATATTTTATGGTTTATATGTCGTATGGTACATAATTAGGGGCCACAAGGGGCCAGAATGCTAAATCTTTGATGCTTTATATCTCGAAAGGGAGAGATATTTTGATAAGCAATATTGAACAAAAGTTGTTCAAAATAATGTTCTGAACAGTATGCAACCTTTCATTTTTTGCTAAACGTCCCCATTAAGGAGTTGAAGGGTTGGCCCCTAAATATTTTTTTTGCTAATAGCTCAAAAACGAAAAAGAATTTCTGAACAGTTGTTGAACACAAAATGTTCAAAATCTTAAGATCTTTAAGATGATATGAATAAAAAGGGCTGATTCCTAAAATTAGGGATCGTTAGGGGCAAAAGGCCGATTTTTTTAAGTCTTTAATGTTAAATGTCTTTTTACAGATTGTGGTAAATCATTATTTTAGAGTGAAAATCGCAATCAAAATCTTATCTCATCTCATCAAGAATTGGACGGAAGACCCACTCGTTGCTCGCAACGAGATCGTATCTAGTTATTATTATTGTTTTTTTTTCTTACCGATTTTGTACGCACGATTTCTCGAGAACGGCTCGATCGATTTTCATGAAACTTTCAGGTTTGATAGAACATCAAAAAATCTAGATATATATTTTTTTATTTTGATGACGTCACTTCCGGTTCGGAGTTTTCTGCGATTTAGTGATTTTTATAGGGCCACTTTGTCCGGCAGTTTTCTCAAAAAGCACTTAACACAGAAGCTTGAAATTTTCAGTGATGCTAGAGCAACTTTTGGAGAAGTGCACTAAGTATATCACAACTACCGGAAGTACGAAGCGCCGACGCTCGCTATGGCCCGAAAATAGTCCTATCAAGAATTTCAAAATTTCAAGCACTTTTTCAACGATAACTTTTTACCTAGAAATATTTTGTTAAAACATAGAGAACAAAAAAGGTGTAGAATTTCAAGATCTTTCAAATGACATCTCGAAAAAAGGGCTGGCCCCTTAAATCAGGGGCCTGGAGAGGCCGAAATTTTTTCCTTTATATCTCAAAAAGTATTGAAAATTTGTGATACGTCGAAGAAGCAAAATTGTTCAAAATGTCAAGCTTAAGGGGATGAAGGACCTTTACCTGAAAAAATACCTATCATTTAATTTTTTTCATATTTTGTATATCTTATTTAGTATGTCCCACATACTATAAAGCAGACATATCAATAAGTTTCTTGACTTATTTCTGAAATATTGAGTGACAAATACCATACCCCACAGTGTCTGAGCGGAGTTTTGATTCTCCGTGTTTCAGGGTCCATTACTCGGTCGATAATTGAATTTTTTCAGCATAGATAAAAAATATGCCAGCGGAAATGTGTCTTTTAAAATATTTCAGAGTATGAATAGGGTTAAAAATTCGAAACAGCAATATTCTTTTGTAACACCGCATGTGGAGACGGAAATTTACGAACTTTTTAAGACAACTTAAACAATAAAAAAATTGATTTGCAAAAAATCCTATCATTCAATATTTGAAAATTTACGTCGAAGTTTAAGATCGTCATTGTATTGATTAACTCTAAAAATATCGATTGGTGAAGCTGAACTCAATATTGCACGGGGCAAAGTTGAACGAGACATGATCATGAGAAAACGTGTCAAGTTTACATTTCTAGAGTACGGGAAAACCCAACTATGACGTCACACACTTCTTAAATAAGCGAAATTAGACACACCCACAGAACATTTCCGTCAACAACCATGTAAAATATTTTTTGCGGTCTGAAATTCACAAAATACCCCACAATTTACAGATCATGGCCTGTTTTTATGATTTTATACTACCCATTTTTACCATGTATGATCTTACTGTACTAAAAGATCCACTATGACGTCAACGGCACGCTGGACGCGCAGTGTAGGGAAACAGAAGAGTGGATTAATCATTTCCGTAATTTGATAATATTTGCAAGAAATTTTAAATGTTTTCAGATATTTTTATACTAGATGGTGAACGCAAACAAACAGTCAAAAAATTATACTAGTACTGTGGTTTCAATCTCGTTTTGTACATATTTTATCAGAGATTATGACGTAATTCAACTGAGTCACATGACCATATATCCTTCATCCCCTTAATCTATTGAAGTCGTCAAAATACGTACGGCGTCGTCACTTCCGGTCAAACCGGAAGTAGTCGGAAAACGCGTATTTTTGCCGTTCTTGACAAGTTTACTGGTAACATATGTCTCTGGGAGCATTTTAATTAAGGTAGCTAAGGACACCTGACCCCCAAAAAACCTGTCAATAGATTTTGTTGAAATTTTCACAAGGTGTAAAGGGATGTGTAATGAACACTTAGTCGAAATATGAACATGGCATTGTGGGTAAATTACGGAACCAGGGGGTAATGAGTTACCTCCCCTTTCCAGTCACTCCAAAAATCATAATACAAGATAATTATTACCCATAAAAAATTTATTGTGCAATATGCATTCAATATTAAAAATTATTTTTAAACAATATTGATACTATTAACTTATTTAAACAATGGATTGTCTGAACATATATAAATTAAGAGAATAATCCATGTAGAACATTTGAAATTCGACCAATTTGGCCATTTTCATGCACACAAATTTGACACTTTTTAAATTCTAAAAAAAAATCTGTCCAATAGAATTTTTATTTTTTATCATTATATGAAAGATCTGTCTAATACTATTCTTCACTCAAAAAATCTTGGTCACATTGAGGGCTAATAAAGGTACCAGATGGTCCACAACTACCCCCCCCCCCCCCCTCTTTTGGTTTCCCATCGTAAAGGTAAGAATAATGATTAAAGTGGCTATTCAAAAAAATGCATAGCAAATTAGGGAAAAACAACTGAAGAAATAAATCAGAAGTAAAAATCAATTGCTAATAAATGACTAAAGAAAATATTTTTATGAAATAACAGTACATATAGAGTACCCCCCCCCCCCAATCCTCTCGCAATAAAACATGTAATTAAACCAATATTGAAATTATCCATAAAAAGTTCCTCAACAAAATTAAAATATGAATTTATATTTCAACAATAGATACTTGAACAAAAATGTAATTAAAAAAAAACATTTAAATATTCTTCAACATGATCCCTTTTGATTACTTTCATGCAAACAAATTCTATGTTTTCTTATAGATTTCTAAAAAATATATTGTATGACAAAAATGTCCAATACTATTTCTCACTCAGAAATCTCGGTTGCATTAAGAGGCAATTAACTACATGTATTAAGTTACAGAATGGTCTAATACACCCCCTCCTTTTATGCATCTGATATTTTTTCATTGCAATGTCAAAGATCCCCCTAATTATTAACATGTCAAATGTATTCTACTTAATTTGTCAAAAAATACATTTTGGTCATACAGAATAAAGAAATCCATCTGACATAGCACTGCAAAATTCACAAATTTCTATTTCATAGAATAATAAGAATATCATTTAAAAAATATGATCAGTACTCTTTCAAATTGATCAAAAGTCATTTTATTCCATGAGCAGGTAGGATAATAACATTTAATAGGCCATTCCAAGTCTTTTTCTGTTTGGCATTCAATCGCACCTTGGTTTTTGACACCTACATGTATCAGACAATCAAACAAAATCAGAACCCATACACTTGATTACTTTTGTTGACATCTTTGAGTTCTGTCAATTTCTCAAATATGTACAATAAATATGTCATAGGTAGTGTACTTTAGGCATTTAAATCTATTATTTTGATTTTGCTGAAGAATAGATATTTCTGCCAGAAAAGCAGATTGATGATTCATGAAATAAAATCCTCAGATTTACACTATTATTATAACTATCGACATGATACACGTACATTCTGTGTTTTATTTTTTAGGCTATATTTTTATTTACAAATAGGTACATGTAGGTAGGTTTTTGATTGAAGGTTGGACGCTAAACAGAGAAAAAAAAACATGAAATGGGCTTAGTCTAAAACTGTCCTTGACCTGAGACATAAAATTACATAAACTATACCTAAAAATTAAAAACAAAATGACAATGCTGCACTGGGACAAAACACTTGATGCAGGACATTTCATATAAAAAGTTAAAAAAAAAAAAAGATTCTACATGAATATTTGGAGCAGCTTATTAAAAAGCCTGAAAAACACTCACAGTGTAGATTATGCATAATAGAGAATATCTGTTGATTGGCCTATTACTGAACCCGACATCACAAGTCGACATTAAATTATGCATACATTTTTTTAAAAAAGAATAATCTACACTCTACAGCAGTGTAATACTGCAACTGACATATACAAAACATAACATAGTACATTAAACATGAAAGGCTGCATGTGGAGTGATCTATTACCACACCAGACATAAAACAGGGTAGATTAAATATGAAAAATGGAAAAAAATCTATATGTGGAGTGATTAGTTTCCACTTTAAACGTAACACTCAATCAAGAGATACATGTACCCTGTAATATAAAGCTGACAAAGAAAAGTAGTCTATTGACTATGTTAGTTTATTTTCAACAAGCGATTCTTGTCCTGCTCTTTGTTGGAAGGGGTGGAAAATCATTCTTCCGTCGAGCTGCAGTAGTTGAATCATCATCAGCATGAATGGTCTAAACTTCATATTCATATACCTTGTACTCTGTACTGATGAATCTATCTGTAATTTATAAAATTTAACAAATACAATATTATCTGCAGTCAACATCAAAATATATTTCTCACAATGTCTATATCTTATATATAGAATTTCGGTGAAGAAAACATGTATATGTAACAGGAAAAGAGAAAATGTATGGATGGACCGGGAATCAAACCTGAGACCCCTGCATCACTAGTCATGTGCTATACAGACTGAGCTACCCTGGACGATATATATCCATGGCCCAAACCATTACATATTACATACATGTATATATAACTTGCAAAAATTTACACCTCATACATGTAAATTGCCAATTTTCTACACTTTAATATTAAATTTATCATAGCAAAATTTAAATGACTTAACCATAATCACTATTATGCTGACATCAAGATCCCCTGGTCTGCTATGGGTTGGTGGTCCTATACCAGAAAGTACCATCTTGATGGCTGAAAAAAAAATAGATCAAATAAATATATACATGTATACCAGCAAAACCAAAATTTAATTATATTAATTGATTGGCAAATCACTTTTTAACCAGTAAATCTAACATTAAATTAAAATGTCCCACTGCCTGGCCAATATTCTAACTATACAGCAGCTGTAATATAAAGATTTGTCAATTTCATCAGACCAGCAAACAACATGTAAACAGTTTCAATGTTTACCACACTGACACAGTTTTTACCAGTGAAGAAAAACAAAAATAATCTGTCCAGGGTTCGACACTAAGGGTAGTCCGCTGACCCGCGACAACTGAATATTGAGTTTGGACTACTAAACATGCCTTTAAACTTGCCCTGCAGGGCTACTGTAAATTTTACCAAACTGAAACACTCACTCAGAGCAACAAAAATAATTATAATATACACAAAATTTACCTGATTATTGATAAATTAATTTACTTTTCAAACATGTTTTATCCCAAAATTATTTTTTTAAGTCAAAATGTAAATACTGTAAAGGTGAATCGAAATACCCTAAATGATTATAAAATGTAGAATTTTTTGAATAGAAATATATCTTAGGTACAATCTGACAAAAATTAGCCCCCAGTGATCTTGGAAATAAAAATAAATTATCTGTCCTTCACTGTAAATACATAATCTGACACCCATGAAATTTGCCCCTCCCTCCTACCCCCATCAAATGAATGACAGTCCCTTTATTACATTTTCTTAATTTACTAATACTCATAAGGGTGAAGTTTAATGCTGAATTAAGATAGGCCTATTATCATGAAAGTATGTCATGTAAATATCTATAGATATGACTTACCAAGAGCTACTTTTGAGTTGATATCAACAGTGATCATAAGCCTCTCCATCGTATTACTTTCGGGGCCGGGATTTCCCGTGGAAAGTGTCGATAAATCCATAAATAATACAGTACTATCAGACCCATTTACATGTAGGCCTTATGTATTGATACAATAAAGTACCTAGTCACCATCGCTTTCAAAGTTTTTGGAAAAGATACAAACGATATCACTGTGACTGAGAGCCTAAAACTGATTTGTCAAGTTCCTCATCTCAGCAAATCTTCGTCCCTCTTTCGATTTCATCCATGTCATATCATGATTGAGATTCAAACCAGCAGCGTCGTCTGCTTTAGAATAGGGGGTGCTAGTCGGTCGTTTGCGATACACAGACATTTTAGTTCATAAAAAGGTTTTATAGTTTTCTGTTTCTTAAGATGTGTATTCTCTCATTCGCTCTAATTTACTTGATCTACCTTTACAGCTGAGCGTTCCTATAACGTTTCTCTTGTACTTTTCTCGGAGCACGTTGTTTACAACTTGCAGTCCGCCATATTGAACAATGCGCATTTCCGGAATAAGCCAACCGAAAAATTCTTAATTTAGAATTCACATGCAATGTCACGTGATCGCTATCCGTAGCTACGTTAATTTTCCGTCCGTCGTCGTCACTTCCGGTCAAACCGGAAGTAACAGAAAATGGCTTATTTTTGCAATAATTAACATGGATTTAGAGGAATCATACCTTTTTTGGACGTTATTTCTCATTTCTGTTAAAAATGAAAGCCACTTCCGGTCAAACATGACGGAAGACCTACTCGTTGCTTTGCAACGAGCTTTGCTCTAGTCTTATTATTATTATTCTTACCGATTTTGTGCACGCGATTTCTCATAAATGCGTCGATGGATTTTCATGAAACTTTCAGCATTGATGACAAATGATATGAACTTAAGGCGTTTTCTTTTTTTTTTTAATTTGATGACGTCACTTCCGGTTCGGAGTTTTTTGCGATTTAGTGAGTTTTAGAGGGTCATTTTGTCCGGCAGTTTTCTCAAAAAGCACTCAACGCAGAAGCATGATATTTTCAGTGCTGATAGAGCAACCTTTGAAGATATGTATTTGGTATATCTCAACCACCGGAAGTACGTAGCGCCGACGCTGGCTATGGTCCGAAAACAGTCCTATGAAGAATTTCAAAATTTTTAACACCTTTTCTACGATAACTTTTTACCTAGAAATATTTTGTTAAAGTGTGTAGATCAAAAGAAGTGTAGAATTTAAAGATCTTTCAAATGATATCTCAAAAAAGGGGTGGCCCCTAAAATAAGGGGCCAAGGGGGGCCGAAAGATTTTTCTTTATATCGGAAAAAGTATTGAGAATTTGTAATACCTCAAAGAAGCAAAGTTGTTCAAAATGTCAAGATTAATCTATTGAAGTCGTAAAAATACGTCCGGCGTCGTCACTTCCGGCCAAACCGGAAGTAGTTGAAAAACGCGTATTTTTGCCATTCTTGAAAAGTTTTGGGGTAACATATGTCACTGGAAGCCTAAAACTTAATTTTCCGTCTCGTCATGGTCACTTCCACCGGCGGCGTCACTTCCGGCCAAACAGGAAGTAGTCGAAAAACGCGTATTTTTGCCATTCTGTAAAAGTTTTGGGGTAACATATGTCACTAGAAGCCTAAAACTTAATTTTCTGTCCGTCATGGTCACTTTCGCCGGCGTCGTCACTTCCGACCAAACTGGAAGTAGTCGAAAAACGCGTATTTTTGCCAATCTTGACAAGTTTTGGGGTAACATACGTCACTGGAAGCCTAAAGCTTAATTTTCCGTCCGTCGTTTTCACTTCCGGTTTTACCGGAAGTAGCAAAAATTCCTTATTTCTGCATTAATCAACATAGATTTAGATAATTCAAACCATTTTTAGGCGTTATTTCTTATTTTTTGTTAAAAATGAAAACTACTTCCGGTCAAACAGGACGGAAGACCTACTCGTTGCTTTGCAACGAGCTTTGCTCTAGTTATTATTCTTTTTTTTTCTTACCGATTTTGTGCACGCGATTTCTCAAAAACGGCTCAATGGATTTCCATGAAACTTTCAGGACTAATGGAACAGTACTTGAACCTTATGCACTTTTTTCAGATTTGATGACGTCACTTCCGGTTTGGAGATATTGTCGATTTTATGATTTTTGAAGGGTCAGGTTGTCTCCAGACTTTCTCAATAATGGCTCAAGATAGAATCAAGAAACTTTCAGGTATAATAGACCAAAGTCTATAGATATGTATAAGGTAATTCATTTTTTTCTGAAGTGGCGCAAGTCAGCGCTCGCTATGGCCCGAAAATAGTCATATCGCGAATTTCAAAATTTTTAACACATTTTCTACGATATCTTTTTACCTGGAAATATTTTGTTAAAACATGTAGAATAAAAGAAGTGTAGAATTCCAAGATCTTTCAAATGATATCTTGTAAAAGGGGCTGACCCCTTAAATAAGGGGCCTAGAGGGGCCGAAATTTTTTTCTTTATATCTCAAAACGTATTGAGAATTTGTGATGCGTCAAAGAAGCAAAGTTGTTCAAAATGTCAAGCTTTATATACTTGAGTCGTCAAAATACGTCCGGCGACGCCACTTCCGGCCAAACAGGAAGTAGTCGGAAAACGCGTATTTTTGCCGTTCTTGACAAGTTTTTGGATAACATATGTCTCTGGGAGCATAAAAATTAATTTTCCGTCCGTCGTCGGTACTTCTGACCAAACCGGAAGTGGCCAAAAAAAGCTTATTTTGAAGGTTTTGATGCAAAATTGATTGATTGATTGATTGTATATTGTTTAACGTCCCTCTCGAGAATTTTTCACTCATATGGAGACGTCACCGTATGCCGGTGAAGGGCTTCAAATTTTGACCTTTACTCAGCACTCAGGGCCATTGAGCAGTGAGGGATCTTTTTCGTGCCAACGCCTGCCGCTGACACGGGACCTTGGTTTTTAAGGTCTCATCCGAAGGACCCGCAACTTTCACTTCAATGTGCCGAGCGCATGGCGAAGGAACAGTTGCTACCCACTTTAACGACTAGGTAAGTCGCGGCCGAGATACGAACTCACGACCTCCCGATCACGGAGCAAGCGCTCTACCGACTGAGCTACCGTGAACGGTGATGCAAAATTGAAATTATAAAGTCACTGGAGACGACTTAGCTCATTGCTTTCCTTTGCTGATGTCACTGCCGGCACTTCCGGTCAAAACCGGACGGAAGACCTACTCGTTGCTTTGCAACGAGCTTTGCTCTAGTTATTCTTTTTTTTCTTCTGCTTCCTAGACCGCAACTTTGAGGCCTCATATCTCACTCATTTCACAACGGATTTCGCTCAAATTTTCAGAGGTTATAGACGTTAATAAACTCTATCAGAATGCTGACTAAAATTTCAAAAAGTCACTTCCGGTTTTGAGTTATTTCCCTTTAAACGAAAATTTATAGGCTTTCGTTTCCAGACAAAGGCTCAGAGACAGCTAAAGCTGGAGCAGAAATTCTACTGATTTTAGATAATAGAAAGATTGTTATGCACATCGGTTTTTGTTTTTTCGATTTCTCTATTCAAAATGGCGCTATATAGGGGTCAAACATTAGAACGCTTAGAAAAACCAAAAATTACTCATATTTTGCTTTTTATCTTCTAAAATAAAAATATTTTGTTAAAATATATAGAACATAATTTGTGCAGAATTAGAAGATCTTTCAAAAGATATGTCGGAAAAAGGGCCGACCCCTAAATTAAGGGATCTAGAGGGGCCAAAAGTTTTTTCCAGATATCTCAAAAAGTATTGAGAATTTGTTATACATCAAAGAAGCAAAGTTGTTGAAAATGTCAAGCTTAATCAAATGGAGTCGTCAAATTACGTCCAACGTCGTCACTTCCTGCCAAACCGGAAGTAGTCGGAAAACGCATATTTTTGCCGTTTTTGACACGTTTTTGGGTGACATATGTCTCTGGGAGCTTAAAAATTAATTTTCCGTGCGTCGTCGTCACTTCCGGTCAAACTGGAAGTAGCAAAAAATGGCTTATTTTTTAATTAATTAGCATAGCTTTAGAGGATTCAAAGCATTTTAGGGCGTTATTTCTCATATTTATTAAAAATGAAAGCTACTTCCGGTCATTAACAGGACGGAAGACCTACTCGTTGCTTTGCAATGAGCTTTGCTCTAGTTAAGATTTATTTTTTATTATGAACCCATTGCAAAGTTGAAAGGAACGAACGACAACTCTGGGTGGGATATAGCATTATGGTTTTATATATTAATCTTTGACCATAACCCTACAGATCCCATGATTTAAAAAAAGTTCAATTTACTGCGCAATATTTTTTTTGCACATTTTTGGGGAGAATTTCTCCATTTTCAAGCATTGGTCAATCAATTACCCTTCA